TGAGTCATGTGGGATGAGAAGAGCTTCAACACAGCAGGGAGGTCTCACCTCTCCCATCTCTATGAGGAAGGAGTCGATGTAGTCTCTGGGTGACGAAGGGTCCAGGTTCTCTCTGTGCTCCTGAATCCTTACTTTAATAAAATCTAATAGTTCGTATGTTATGGTGAAAATCCTCTGATGAGGTCCAGGCAGCCATTTCATCAGCCAGGGTAATGCGTTGTAAAGCTACAGATATGAGACACAGAAAAATCCATCAGAGTTTCCATCAATCATCACATCACCACCACCAGACAAAGCCAGTCAGTGCCTTTCATGAACAGCATTCACTGTTGTTTTAGCCACTGTTGGTTTTGTCTTTTTTCCAGCCAGTCTGCCCATTGTTCTCTGACGCTAATATCCATTGAGCATTTTTTTTGGTCCAGACATCTGGATATTTTCTCTATTTTCAGACCAGTCTTTGTAAAGCCGTCTGGCACCAACAATCATGCAACATTTAAAACCACTTGAATTTTCTTTTTCCTCTTTCTGATGTTCCATTTGAAATTGTCAAGGTTGTCTTCGCCAACTTCTTGCTCATTATTTGTCCTAAAAATGATATGTTGAACTGGCCACCTATGGTCAGTAAATGTATATGTGTGAATGCATCATCTCCAACTTCATTAGACTGAATCTTATACCACAAATATCACTTGAACAAAGATTTCACATCCATCTCTGTACTTCCTTTATCTATTGGGAAACAGAAATAAGTTGGCCATTGGTTAAGCACAGCTTATCTCTACCTCCTGCAGCTCCAACCTTCTTCTTCTTCTCTTGGAAACATGTCCTCACCTGGGCCCACACTGTTCCTTCCAGGTAAACTGTCTCATTGAAGTGTTGAAGGATGATCTTGAACTGCTTGTCATTGTACTCAAATCGATTCCCAAAGACCAAGCAGCAGATGATGTTGGACACAGCGTTGTTGATTAGTTTTTGGACATTAAATGGCTGACCTGAAGCAAAAACAAGCAAACTTATTAGACAACAGCATTGCTCAGTAATTCACTATGTACTGAATTTTGTTTGCTGTTTGAAACTGTCGCTGTACATTTGAATCCATACATAATCCATATTTTTACTATAAATGGTGGAATCTAGAGTTTAGTAAAAAAACAAACAAATAAATAAAAATCAGAATGCAGTCCCATAGAAGTTGTTGGAAATTCCTGAGCAACATGATTTCATTTTCATCTCAGTTGCTAAGATGAAAATTTACAGCCAGGATGGAATATATAGAAAAATGTAAACTAAATCATATTGAACCTTTTCAAACTTGGCATCAAATAAGACAAAAAGCAAACTTGTTTCAGTACTTGAAACTAGAAAAAAAAAAACAAAAAAAAAATATTTGTTGGATTGTATTTTTTTTTTTAAAGGTGGCATCGCCTTTCTAAAATATTGCCCTAAGTCAGAGGTTCCCAAACTGTGGGGCCGTGCCATTGCAGGAGGGGGCAGGGGGAGTCGTCTGGATGGAAAATAAAACAAACAAAAAAAACATGAACGCTGTATGAGCTGGGTTTTTACCTTAGAATGGCCAACTCTATTATTCCTATGTCAATTTGAAGCAATAGGGGCTTCCGCACTTTCCATACCTGTGTCCTCTGTTACTTTTATCAGCAGTTAACACTGTTTAATC